GTTTACAGCTGTATCTTTATTACTTTTAGAATTATTGTTGTTTGAACATAGCATATACGCAAACACAAAAGGCCTTTGTTAAATGACAACTGGCACTGCCTGCCTAGGAGTAATTAGTAATCTGAGATTACTTATGATCTTCGATGAATTAGAGATGATGAATTAGAGATCAGAGAATCAGAATCATCATTTATAAGTAGTATAATTTGAGAGCAGGCAGCACAGAACACTATTACTCCTAGGCAGGCAGTGCCAGTTGTCAATCGCTAATACTGTAAGTAGAAAGGTCGTTAGACACTTATTTCATTAGGTTTATCATATTTATGCCTGTTTCTTAACGCCAAGCCAGTCGCTTCTTATTTTTATTACGGTTATTTCCCATTTTAATTTTACGTCGTCCTGTTGCGTAATGTATATTCTGATCGTAAGCGACACAACTTCCCCTTCAAAGGCCGAAGCGAAGTGACCGGGCGGCAGGAATCACTCTTCAAGAGGCCGATAGTTTAGGTAATTTCTTGCTAAGCCATTTGAGATTATATTTCCCCTTAAACGCTTTTTACGACACACTAGACAAATAACACAGTTTCAGAAACTTGACAACAAAAGTTTTCACAAAAACTCAGATTGGTAATAAGTCCTTTTTTTCTTTAGATTGTCACATTTTTTTGTCGCATATTCTGTTTTGTATTTGGAACTTCTGATATAAACATGAGACCTATAACCACAGACAGACATGGGACAGACGACATAACGCATGGAATTTACAAACATATTTTTCGAACTAAAATGGAACCTTTGTTCCTACCTACTGCTGAGTACACATAATCACAAGATATGTAAAAAGTAATGATTATGTTGTGATGGAACCATCACGACTTCAAACTGTTCACTGATGACGACTGTCTTATGAAACTGTATGCATGTGCGTGCTGCTTTATGTATGTATGTAATATGTATATGCGTACACGTTTTTTTTTATAGATAGTGACAACGAGCACACAGTCCACCTGTAACGTACTATATCTACTTCTTACTAATCATGTCACCCAACTCAAACAACAAACTACTATTTCACACACATATATATACACGCACATATATAAAGCACTTTGTTTTATCTGTATTTATTAGTGAACAAGTCGTTTTTAATAGAACATTAAATTTTAATTGTTAAGTACACAGACCCAATAGTAATATGTGGATAACGGTGTTGATTGTATGATTATTGAACCTAAATATAGCATTGTGTTTAATAATAGGATTATATGGTACAATAGTTTGTTATTTGTTACCCCTAATAAAGAGAAAAAAAATTCTTCACTCGGAACTGTATGCACCATGGTGGCTGAAAACCATGTGTTATCTTCCATGATCCTAATATTTAAAAAAAAGCCATAAGGATTATCGCCCACTAAATGTTTCAAAATGCAATCGAAGGTAGCTATCGTATTCGCATCACAAGTTGAACGCCTATCAAAATTTTCCAAATTTAATCAAACCGGTTTCATTGCTTTATCGAAACAATGTTCAAAGTCATTATCGAAAGTAAGTATATAACATAAGGGCTTCATTTCAGAGACCCAGTATAATATGTAAAACAGTAGAATATCTACGGTATGTCACGTGCGGTTTTTCCTTCACCGCCGAGCATGTGTGGTAAACTAGCCACGTCATTGGTGCCGGCGGGGATCGAAGTAGATATTTAATTCTAATAGTTTAAAAAATATAACAATGAAGCGTTAACGCAATCATAAAGTTTGAAAGTAAAATATTTAGAGTAATAAAGGGATAAACCTTTTTTCAAAAGTAACTATATTCCACCGAAAAAATTAAGGTGTGAACGCGAGGTTAAACTTTAGCATAAGAGGTGTCAAAATATTTAGTATATTGAATTGAACCCTAAAATAACCATTTAAATATCGTATGAGTTCTAAATAAGCAGGTACTAGGTATGTTTAAAGACGGTGATATCGGACTAATCATAAGTCATTTTTTGTATTTTATTTACATTATGTTGTGTATACCATTGATTAATATTTTTATGTGCTTGTGTATTTGTAAGAAAAAGAATTGCACAAAATTGATTTCAAAACGAAATGCCCTAATTTATTCTCGTTTTTATTTCGTTCTGGCGTCTTATTTATCATCCTTTTAAATCTATTGCTAGACTTAACCTTTCCAATAATTTAAATAGGGCTTGTGAGTTGGTGGGGAGAGCTTGGTGTTGCTCAATCGTCGGTTTGAGTGATGAGAGTTCGGTGTATTTAGTTGAATATCCTACAATCACTCGAATTCCAGATTATCGTCTGCTTGTTAGATTGATATCGTAAATCGCGTACTCGCAATTACTACATAGAGAACTTGCATAATTTTTTTTTTGCTACAATTTTATATAAGTATAAATGAAAGAATGATTCATTTAAATTAAAATAGTAAATAAAAAAATTATTTTAAACCAAAAAAAAATTGATGTTTGTGATTGGTTGTGACCAGGGATGCATCCGCTACCGATACCGATATTTTTATGGCCGATTTTACAATAATTTTCGCGCTTTAAAATCTATTCCATTGCAAACGAGGCACGAACTAACTATGCTGTGTTGTATCTTGTTTCCTTGTATACCCTGTCTACTATGAGCTGCAATTGTCTCAAAGAAGAAGCTCTCTCTACCTATGGTCTCCTAATATATCGAGAGGTGCAGATCCGTTCGTTTTCTAACGCAATAACGTCTTATACCCAAACTTGAAAAAAATGGCGCAGAAGTGCTCTAGTTTCCAAATGAGTTCTGTCGCATCTGAGAGACTATTTTCCACCGCAGGTCTTATTCAAACACATTTGCGAAATTACTTTTCTAAGCAAAACTTAAGAATACTTTGTTTTTGAAACAAAAATCTCATCAATTTTAATTTTAATTACTAAAACTATTAACTAATCTCAACCCTTCTATAGTTTTAAACGATTTTATTTAGATTGTCCTGTTATTTGTTATTTTATATTAATAAAAAAATTAACCTAACTTGTGTTTTTATTTATTTTACCTTCATTTTTGATTTGATTTTGCGTCGCGATTTTAGGTAATTATTTCACGCAGATAGCAAGAGTGATAGAGGCCTGCCCTCGTGACCATGGATGCTGTAAAGCACCCAAAACGTCGGGAATTAAAAATTAGTGTTTAATGTGGCCTATAAACATTTGCAACTATCCTCGATTACGTATCAAAATGCAGATGCGTTGTCACCAATGAGGACTAAGATGGAATGCCTCGTTTCCATTGAAAAGGGTCACCGGTTCTCTAAACTCGTCATACGAAACACAGTGGCGTTCAGTTACTATTTTACGCTAGTATTCTGTGAGAGTGTGGTCCTGCCCTCGGTCAAGCAAAAGCGTTTTAAAAAAAAGTTATTTACACACTAGGATTTTCTCCTGTATCGTAGAGTCAGTTTACAAACACAAATTATACAAGGAAAAACATCCAGACCGGGAACAATTATTAGCGGGCCATACAAGTACTTGTTCAGTGCGGGATTCGAATCCGCGGTTCTCCGCGCTGAACTCATTTCTAAGCCACTGCGCCATGGAGCCGACAATAATACGAGTATAGCAGCAGCATTTGCTCGAGCCGACCCATTCGTGCTACAACTATACCACTAATTGAATTATTTAAATGACTACCTTGTTGGTCTAGTGGTTGTAGTAGTGCGACTGCTGATCAAAAGATCCTGGGTTCGAATCCCGAGTCGGGCCAAAAAAATCAGTTATTGAGTTTTCCATAGATCCTGGGTTCGAACCCAAAAAATTTTTGAAAAAAACAAAAAGTTCGAATCAAAAATCAGATATTGAGTTTTTCCATCAAGAAGTTCTCAGTTTCATTCAGTTCTGCCAGGAGTTAGAAAAGCACGTAAAGCCGCGTTGGTCCTGCGCCTGATCTCTCTCCGGTCGTGTCGGTTTACCGTCCCATCGGATTATGAGAGTGAGGGAATAGAGAGAGTGCACCTGTGCTTGCGCCGCATACACTTGGGCACTAATGATCCTGTCCTGCGCCGATGGCTAGCCTCCGTTGAGGCAGGCCGCCGTGACCGAAATTCGGTCTGGAGAACATTATACCACTAATATAACTGCAACATGGCTCTACCTCGTAAATTTGTAACATAATAATCATCATTCATCATCATCATTACTGAACTGAGGGCTGAACATAGGCCTCCCCCAAGGTATGCCACAAAGCACGGTCCTGAGCCACCTGTATCCATCGACTCCCTGCATGTCTTACCAGGTCTTCACTCCATCTAGTGGGGTGTCGCCCTACACCTCGCCTACAGGTACGAGGCTGCCACTCGAGAACCTTTTTTCCCCAACGGTTGTCGATTCTTCGAGCTATATGGCCGGCCATCTTCTCGTCAGGTATACCTCAAAACCTGAAAACTAAGTTGTACAACCAGTGCTTTCTATTTAAGCGACAGTAGCCTAATGGCAGGGCGCGGACCGCGAACTCAAAAAGGTCGTGGGCTCGAATCCGCCATTCGACTACTGGCGTGAACCACTCGTAACACAAGCAATTTAAGCTTACCACGAGTGGTTAAGGTCGTCAGCTGACAGCGCGCGCGATCGGTTGCACGTCGGTGACCTCAAGCGATAGACAATGACGAGAATTAAATGTAATAGTTGTAACATTATTATTAATGAAGTGTTATGTTTTGTGCAAAATAAACTTGATGTTATGAATAATGTGAGCCTAGCGTTGTTATGCAGGAAATCATTTTCTGAGGAGGACATCGCTGAGGCTAAAAGCTTGTTGTTCGAGTCAGTACAACAAAAGGAAATCAAACGAAGGGGCGATGCCGGTAAAAACAAAACCATAGAAGACATCATTGGGTTGTTGAAAGGGGCAGATCCTGAGATATTTCCAACGTTTGTGGCACGAGACATCCAAAAATTGCCACCGGTCACATTTGACCACATAGACGCGACGCGTTTACTAAAGGATATGCTAGTTATGCAGAGGGAGATCAGTGCCATAAGTGAGAAATGTGCAGTATTTCAAGACACGTACGTTAAAAAAGATGATTTAAAATTTGAATTTGATAAGTATCATAAGAATACACGAGGGCAACTCATAAGTCACCCTAATGTCAATAGCAAGAGAGGCGGTTCTTGCTTACAAGATAGCCCCGACTGTGACAGCGGGCCGATGGGCTTAATGACCGTCCGTAACGATAATTATACGTCGACAATGACAGTGCAAAAACAGATAGGTGATCACCTGTCTTTGTCGGACGCGAGCGCTTGCGCGGTGGAGACAGATAAGTCTGTCCTATTCACACACGTGCAACAAGTGGCACATCAAGAGTACGTGGAGGCCCCTCGTCAAGTAACTGCGGTTTCGAATGCACACGAGGCAAATGCATTTGAGGCGCCCGCGCACCTATCCTTGTCATGCGTGAGCGATACGGAGGCGGAAGATCATAAAGCTGTCTCTGTCGCTCCCGTATTAAGGTCGGAGATGGCGACTCGAGCGCTTGTCTCGTCTGAGTCAGCTGGTGTGATGACGTCGTGCAATGTAGTGAATGCAGATATACAAAGCGCCGTGAACAAGCAAGATGTAATTGATGGGGAATGGATACGAGTTGAAAAGCGTAAAAAGTCAAGGTTTAAGGGGTCGAGAGGAACAGCTGTGATAAACCCGCTGGGGAAATTCAGGGCGGCGGAGGTGCAGATTCCGTTGTTTATTTACAACGTCGATAAAGACGCCACAGAGCGGGATATTGCCGAATATGTATATGAGAAAACACATATACATATACTGCCGGAGAGAGTGAAGAATAATAATAAAGCGGAAAAAGATTACACATCATTTAAATTCTGTATACCTAAAAGTAAATTGTCTTTGTTTACAAATAATGAATTGTGGCCGGAAGGTATATACTTCAGAAAATATATAATATTTAGAAAGGGTAGGAAAACACCTACAGATCGGGATACGAGGAAAAATAATAAAAATGATGGATCAGAAGTCAATTAGAGAGAATAACTATAAATTAAAGCTAACTAGCTTTAACTGTAAGTCACTAAAGCGATCAATAGATAGTGTGAGAAGTATTTGTGTGGCAGCGGACGTGGTTGCGCTGCAGGAAACTTGGTTGCTACCGCATGATTTGGCCTACCTAAGTACTGTTAATGACGAGTTTGTAGCCACAGGGACGTCAGCGGTAGATACGAGTGCAGGCATGTTACGCGGCCGTCCCTTCGGGGGGCGTCGCGCTGTTATGGCGTAAGAGTGCGTTTACGGCGGTATCTGTTGTGAACAGTGCTTCCAGATCCCAAAAGTAAAATTACAGTGTTGCCAGTTAAAAAATACAGGAGTTTCTAAAAACAATACAGTAGATTTCAAAATCAATTACAGTAAAATTACAGGAAACACTTTGTTTAAATATTGATAGAAAAATAAGCTGCTTTATGACTCTTTATCAATACAAATTGCTATAAGTTATTAAATAAATAAAAACATATATTTAGATACAAGAAAAAACATTTATTATTGATTTACTTATTCCAGAACAATTTGCTCATGATTTTCATAAATCTTTGCTGTCATCCTTGAAATCATTTCCTTAGTTGGATTAAAATTCACGCAATTTTCGGAAGTCCGCCGAATGGCTTGCTGAGCTAGCATGTTGCCTTTGATGGTATTTGTGACTAAACAGTTTCTCTGCTTTGTTTTTATATTATTTATTTCACTAAACTTTCGTTCGCACTCAGCGTTCGAGTGAGGCAACGATAAAACTTGGAGCATAAAACGAGGCAGAAAATGATATTTATTATCTCCGTTGCTATCTTTGATTTGAGACAACTGAAAAAAAAACAAATCTGTAAAATGTAAACATATGTGCAATATTATACGTAAAGTTCTTAAGTGATAAAATTTTACCTGATGCCAAAACACGTCTGCTGGTTGATTTGTATTCAAATGTTGTTCATCCGCAGTCAACATTAAATTTCTCCATTCATCATCTAACGTCTGTTGATCATTTAAAGTTTGGGGTTTAAGCCTTGGCAGCACTGGGAACAGCGAAGACAAAGACTGTAGTCTATTATCAGATAAGCAAGAATCGGGATCCAACTTTGCGATTGAGCTCAAAACTGGGTCATTCAAACTGTATCTTTTCCGAATACCCACGCATGCTTTAACGATAAAATTCAGGCATTTCTGTTTCATCACTGTAACTTCTTCGGTACTTACATGTAGCTCTGGGACAGCAACTTGATTAGCAACACCCAATCCCAGGTATATATTTTTCAGATTTATGTAATGTTGACTATCAGTAGGGTCAATTGCGTCGAGTGGGGTGTTCTTTAAATGATTCGGAGTTATGTATAAGGATAAGAGTTCTCTGTATAGCTCTTTCATTTTGTTATGGGCTTCTATAATAACCGGATCTTCGCTTTGAAAATATACATTGACGCGGGTAAACTTTGGCAACATCCAACATAAAAAATAAAAATATGCCTTGATGATGTGATCATTCAAAAGAATATGAATGGCTTGGCAATCTTGGTCTTCCAGCCATTTATCGTCAAAGTACAATCGCAAAGCGTCCCATTGCTCCATAATTCTGTTCACAACACTGGAAAGAGACAACCAACGCGTTTGGGCTGGACGTAGCAATTTGTGTATGTTAGTGTCTGTAAATACTTGAAATTCCTTTAACTCTGCTTGACGTTTGCTACTATTTTTGAAGTAATTGTATATCATTCGAGTCAGTTTTTCTGCATCGTGGGGCAATTCTTTGCAAGCGTCGGAAGCGCACAAATGTAAAGAATGGCAAAGGCATTTGATCACTGTAATACCTGGACATAGTTGTCTAAATCGTGAGGACACTGAATTATGGCAGCCCATCATCATATTACATCCATCAGAACCAAACCCGATAGTATTTTCTAAGGGTATATTTTTGTCTCGAAATGATTTTATTATTGAATTAAATAATTTTTCAGCCGTGGCTGAGTAATCACCAGACGTTCCAGCTTTTTTGTCATCAAATATTTGAATAAGGTCCCAGAATCGACTGACGATACGTCCTAAATTAGGATCATAATATTTGACTACAACACACATTGTTTTCACACTGGCAACATCGGTACTTTCGTCTACCATTATAGAGAACTTTTCGCGTTTTAAATCTTCGACTAAACATTCTCCTTCAGAAGCCCCGATAACGTTATTTATTATTGCTTGTAATTTAGTGTGTTTAAGTTTGATATTACTTGCGATTTTAGAATCTGGAAAAGCTTTTGGAAGTAAATCAACGAGATGATCCATCACTATGTGCGATATTTTATGTTCTGCCATAAAAGCCGATAATTTTAATTCTGTAATTTTCCGCTGATCATCATCACTTGCGCGTTGCTGACTTTTAAAAATATTATCAATGGTACGCACATGCGATAGGGCAGGAAGACGAAGTTTATGCTTAGCACCTTCACTGTGTCTTTTAATAGCACCCAGATCGGCAATCAAAGAAGAATCGCAAACAGTGCAAATGCATTTATAAATCGACTTTTTATCACGCTTTAACCACTTACGGTAGTCTTGTAATTGAAGCCATTCATCACGGAATTGTTGCCGATATTTCTTTTTAGCTCTTGACGGACCAGCATCGCTACGCACATCACTTTCCTCACTGCTTGAGCTCATTTTTACAGTAATAAATACAGTGAAAAAATTATAGCGAATAAGTTTTTAGTTTAAATTTTATTTCACATCACCCAAAACAATTAAAAAGTTTAAATCTCAATTAAAATGTATGTACAATGGCAAAACTACTTTAAGTGTAATGAATTAGACGAAAAATACAATGTTCCTTTGTAAGACAGTTAAAACAAGTAACAAGAACCTACTTATGCTAGTTGCGTCCCAGAGTGCTCCACGTTAGTTCCGATTTGCCAGGGAATTCCCCGCAACTTTGTTACAAACTTACTGTACATTGTCTATGGATAATGGCGCTAGCACTCTTATTAGTTTGTGGTTCAGTGGGTGTAGATCATAGATAAATAAATTTGTAGCAAGGTAGTGTATTAGCATCATATTAGTCTGTGGTAGTGTAGATTAGCTGCGTTCTGTTTTACGTATTAGAATTGATAAAGCTATATGAAAATTAAATACAGTATATTCCATACACTGTATTTTATCATTACAGTATACAGTAGAAAAGTCTAAAATACAGTAAATCTACTGTAATTACAGTGAATCTGGAAGCACTGGTTGTGAAGTGCAATAATGCGAGGCTCTGCGCTATAAAGTGTAAATTGCGTGAATGTGATCTGTTGATATTCTCGGTATACATGCCTACTGACTGTACTGACAACTTGCCAGAATTCACAGACTGTTTGAGCGAGATTAATGCGGTTGTTGAGGACAGTGGTATTAGTATGGTAGTTGTATTAGGAGACTTTAATGCTCAACCAGGTGAATTATTTTTTAATGAAATGCAGCAATTTTGTGTTGAACAAAAATGGTGTTGTGCGGACTTTGAACTTTTGCCAAACAATGGGGAGACGTATACTTACATTAGTGATGTTCACGGATGTACACGTTGGCTTGACCATTGTTTAGTAACTAGGATGGCTAGGGGTTACATTGAGAATATAACCGTAAATAACAGTGTCTCGTGGTCTGATCACTATCCTTTGGAAATTGTTTGTAACTTAAACCCCTTACATACTCAGTTGGTACCATCATCTCGAGTTTCTAATAATAAGATATTTTGGGGGCAGAGGGATAGTGACCAGACTAAGCTATTTACGAAAACTTGTGATGAGAAGCTAAGTAAAGTAGTTTTTCCTATGGAGCTTACGAAATGTTGTGGCAAAACCTGTTGTAAAGATGAACATAAACTAGTTATCGATAATATGTACTCTCATATTGTAAGCATATTGCAGTCAGGGGCAATAGTTAGTCATAAAATTGTAAGGGGAAATAAAAAAGGTTATATTACGGGGTGGAATAGGCATGTAAGGCCACTACACGGGAGAGCTCGTCTGTGTTTTCAGTCGTGGGTTATGGCTGGGAGGCCGAGTAGTGGAGTTACATACGACGATATGCGGGAGTCTCGTAGGCTTTTCAAAAATAAACTAAAATGGTGCCAGGACCATGAAGATCAATTAAAAATGGACATTTTAGCCTCTACACACGAGACTAAGCAGTTTAGTAGGTTCTGGCAACAAACAAATAGACTGAATGCACGGGCGGGCCTTCCTGTGGAAGTGGGAGGCATAACAGGGAGTCAAAACATTGCTAATATGTTTAAGACTCACTTCAGGGTGGAACCCCTAAGTATAGTAGGTCAAACAGTGGACGGTGCTCGGGACACCGTAGACCCTTGGGTAGACTCATTGAGCTTCTCTGTTTGTGAGGTAAATGACGCAATAAGGAGTATGAAGCGGGGGGAGATCCCCGGGGCATGATGGCCTGAGTGTCGAACACTTGCGATATGCTGGAGTGCACCTTTCCAGAGTCCTTACCATGCTCTATAACCTCTGTGTCAGTCATGGTCACCTGCCGGATGCAATGATGATGACGGTGGTCGTGCCTATAGTGAAGAACAGGACGGGCAATGTAGCGGATAGGTCCAACTACAGGCCTATATCCCTAGCGACAATCGTGGCTAAAGTTCTGGACAGTCTGCTGGATACACATTTAAAGAAAGCTACTAAAATTAACGACGCTCAATTCGGCTTTCAGCCCGAATTGTCTACCGAGAGCGCAATAATGTGTCTCAAGCAGACTGTACGGTACTACACTGACAGGAAAACGCAAGTGTATGCGTGCTTCTTGGACCTGTCAAAAGCATTTGACCTTGTCTCGTATAAAGTACTATGGCATAAACTTAGGACGGAAACGAGCCTAAGGCCGGAACTGTTATCGTTGTTGCAGTACTGGTACGGTAACCAGTCAAATGTAGTAAAATGGGGAGGCGCTATGAGTGACCCCTACAAGCTGAACTGTGGAGTAAGGCAGGGTGGGCTTACGTCACCGAGGCTGTTCAATCTTTTTGTCAACCAGCTGATAGAGGGGCTGAGCAGAGCTGGTGTCGGATGCTCAGTTGATGGTGTCTTTATAAACAACATCAGCTATGCGGATGACATGGTTCTGCTTAGTCCTTCGGTCAGTGGCCTCCGGAAGCTACTTAAAATATGTGAGGACTATGCTGAGAGAAATGGACTCAGATACAACGCCAAAAAGAGCGAGTTCCTTGTGTTCAGGGGAAAAAACAAACCCACCAATTTTCAGCCAATCATACGATTGTGTGGTATTCCCCCTGAAACAGGTGGCGGAGTTCAAATATCTCGGCCATATAGTTAACGAGCGCCTCGTGGACGACGGTGATATAGAGAGGGAGCGAAGGGCGCTGTCGGTCCGGGGCAATATGTTGGCCCGCAGATTTGCGCGTTGTAATGCAGAGGTAAAATTAACGCTGTTTAGAGCCTACTGCCA